CACCAATGTACTAAGGAAATAACAAAAAAGTGACAGCACTGGCTTTGGAACATGGAAGAAGATTGATCTGACCAAAGCAGATGTTTGTATTTGATCTTAGTCACTCTAGAAGCATTTTAGGAACAACAGAAATAAATACATACTTTTAAGGTGCAATTCACTTAACCAGTGCCTGCCTAAAGATGAGCTATTTTTCTATGTTGTCTACCATGGAAAGTTAGAGGACTAGCTCCGATACAGATGCCTACATTATAAACCTCAAAATCTGGGCAAGATGACAGACTGTGCAAGTGATGGAGACTAAAATGCTACAAATTTATTCTTTCTGGCTAAATCCTCTCAGTTACCAGACGTTGTTTGGCACAGATGATACATGAAGAGGATAACTCTTGCTGTCCGATTCTTCAATTACTCTAATGCTGAAAGACTGCAGATTCAAGCTTGTATTGCCCATTTCAATGCACATATATACTAATGGATGCATTGCCTAAGCACTCACAAAATAGAACGAGAAAAAAAGATATCTCATCCCCCTCCCAATAATGGATATAGTTAATATGAAGCTTTTTCCTTGGCAATTATAAAAGAATAATTACGATGGTAGAAAAAGATTAGGCTTACATGAAGAAAGTGAAGACATCCCCATCCTGACTTCAATTCAAAATATTTCTTTTGAAAAGCACACAGAGGACAAGACAATCAAGAGGAGATCACACAGCTAATTATTTGGAAAAAATAATTTCACAGTGTTCTAATTTTTCATTTTGAAAATGTGATCAACTCTCAAGGAAATACAGAAAGTACATCTATTGGGGAAATGAAGGAAAAGGTAGACCAACTTACTGCCTAGACCACCAAGCAGTGCACAAACTGTCAATAGGAAAAAAAATCCTATTTAGTTTTCCCCCTATTATCAGCTGCTTTTCCCTTGGAAAAATCTCAATGCTTTATAGTCATAAAAATTTCACAAAAGTAACTGTAACAAAAAAAGATATTAAATTAGTAGACCGTCAGCCAGGACAATCATGGTCTATTAAGATAAACTTACTCTGTGGATATCTAGATAGATTTTCTCTGTATGTCCATTTAAATTAATTATTTGCACTCTTAGCCTTCTAAAAGACACAAGGAAAATAAAATGTAACATTGTCACAGCATAATGGTCCCTCCTGCCTGACAGACATTAGGAGAGGAAAAAAGTTACTGAAAAATGAACATTGAGATGACATTACCAAGCTATTTTCAAAGTGGGAGGCAATTAGACTATGAAAATGTTCTCTTCCATTATTTCTATTATACCAGAGGAAGATGAAGTAAATAAATATGAAGATGGATAGTTATTGTTGATGCACAGTGACAGCTACTGAGTATGTTACATTGAAGAACTATGTTCTACCAGTCCAGATTTTATACAGTGACAGGCAAATCAGTAACAATCAGGTAGCCGAAAAATCTAAAAAAAAAAAAAAAAAAATGGACTATTTATTTTGTTTGGGTTTTTTTTTTTTTTTTAATTGAATAAGTTGTGGTGGAACTAGAATAAGCTTCATCTGTTGTTTAATAAAACAAACCATTTATTAGTTTTACAGGATTTAGGTTGATAAACTATGTCAAAAGATTTTCAGAAGGGCTCTTTACACTCGTGTCCCTGACACTACAGATACTCAAGCTGAAGTACCACCACTTCTGCACCTCTAAACATGAGGCAAAGACACTTATTTTAGAAGGTTTGCTTTTGACTTGACCTCTTCTGAGGTCAATATATAATACTGATAAAAAATCACCACTTAACCGTACGATAGCAATTTTCGAAGTGCTCAACTCCAATTCACAAACTTTAAAGAAGAGGGCAGTTTAGCCTAAAGTCCAAATATTAACTATTCTGGTCACTTTGCAAATCTTATTTAGGTATCTGAAGGAGAAATTCTCTTGAAAACCTGATCTTACGTGCAATCAGGATGTCTCTCCTTGGAGATAGTCAAAAGGCGCTTGGACACGGGCCTGCTGGAGCAGCGGAGTTGGACCAGATGACCTCCAGAGGTGCCTTCCAACCTCAGCCATTCTGCGATTCTGTGAATTGCAATGTAACAACTACGCTGTACTTCTTCAATCCTACAGAATATCTTTTGTTATGATGGCCCTCTACTTAAACTGTTACAAAGAAAGAACAGTACAGACATAGCTTTCAACTTGCTCACCTAACTTGTGCCTGAACTTTAGGGGCTTAATGAATCAGTCCTTCTAAAGCAAATCTAGGTTCCCTACGCACTTAACAGGGAGGCCTTTGTCTCAGAAGACCCAAGACAAACGCTGCCTTCTTGAGTTAGGTAGTGAATCATTAATGAGTAATTATTTTTGCTATCAGTTCTGCATTAACCCTCCAGTTTCTGAACTCTGTCCTACCCAGAGGAACTGACAAAACCAATCCTAGAGGTTCTCTGGATGTTGGGAGCTTTCTGAAGTGTTTTAGGTTATTTTGCATTAATAGAGCACATGTAGAAACATTCACCTTACTCTCAGCAAGCTCACAGTCCTATGAGACGTAAGTATATCCAGAAAATATTAAATAGGAGACATGTCAAACAAAATTAAAGCACAAAAAAGCATTACACCCAATTCTATATTGCTAGTATTTAAAATGTAAGCCTAGCAGAAACAAGATAATCTTGAGTACTGAAATTATACAGAGTCTACATTTAGCAACCTATTTTCACACTTAAAGCGCACAATTCTGTCACAGTCAATGCAGCAGAACTCAGTAAAACATTCCTGTTTAATAGGATGTCATTTATCCGCAAATACACTTTACAATAATGGATTTTCAACTACCACAAATTGATTTTATTTCATTCCTTCCACATGTCATTGTGCCACAGAGGATAACTCCTTTGATATTAATAGTAATGAAGATGCATTGCATCTGACAGCCCTAACAACATGTTTAATAGAACATTTTAACTTTAAGTAGATGAAGAATCAGAAGGGAACACTTTTTCAGATTCCACTGTTTCAGAACACAGTTCTGTATAAATGAAATTATCCTACTTAAAAGTTATTTCCACTTTGAGATTATTTCTGTGCAATTTGACAGTTTTATTTTGGGAGGATAACATTCTGACATACTGCAAATTATTCTCCCAAAACAATACAGCTTATCCTTTTGTATCTGCTTTAATCAAATTCGTCTCAATAGCCTCCTATTTCTGGTAAGTAATTCTGGCAATTAATGATCCTAACTTACCCTAAAATGACAATCCTAAGGTGTCACTCACCAAGAGAAATAATACAAAACATACTGTTTCAAACTGCTACTATACAACCCAGGGAGAGATTTATTCAGGCTTTATTTTACATATTGTGTTACCAGAAACTGCTGCTTCTGCAGAACAACAGGAGTTTTGCCAGTGACGTGGGTCAGACCTTGCTTCTTTCCTGCAATTTGAGTTTGCACTTAGGAGATTCTCAAAGCATGCTCACCTACCTAACTCAAACGCTGCCATCATTGTTCTACATAGAAACTCCATTTATTGAGTTTCATCTTAATTCCAGCTCTCTCCCATGCAATTTGTTTGCATAAGGAAAACACCTACTTATCTAGGAGGTATATCTTATTTATAATCGCATGTGCAGAGAATGTTTTGGAAAAGAGTGTATGCTGCAATTTTAAAGCAAATTAAAGCATAACTAAAAGTTCAAACCTTTTGTTTAAGGAAGCAATATTTGCAGGGTTACTGCAGCTTGACAAATATATTAACACTGAAAAAACAAAAACCTAGTTAAAAATGAAAGAAAAATTACCATCAACTGCACGTAGTGCTGTCGTTGCCTTTCCTTTTCCCGGTTCCTCTTTCCATTATGAAAGTTCTAACAAAACATTCTCCCTTATTTTTAGCACAAACAGGGCAACAATCAGCATCTTACAGATTTTTAGCTTCTAGACCAAGTACCAGTTTTGCAAGGTGATCTCTAACTACCCCACTTCGTAACAACACTCTTCACAAAAAGAAAGTGACATACACAGCAAGAAATAACGTTAAGATGCTACTCCTACTGACCTGTAACTACCCCCTCACTTGAACAGCACAATAGAGAGTGAAAAATGACCTTCAGGAATGTACAACTTAAAATGTTAAAATGGAAATTGTCGAGTCACTTAGCGACAGAACAAGCTTTTAAGACCAATATTAACACAAACCTTGCTTGCAAGCAAGAGCCATAAAACAGAGATAAGAAAGGTGAAATGCTGCAACCAACTCCTGACATCTGAAACCTATTTCAAATGGCTAATAATCCAGTCTATTCTTCAAAATTTATGTTGACATTTACTTTTGCTCATCACATTTACCTCCTATGTAAGACTAGCAACATGCACGTTACACCTGAATAGCTCTTGGGTCCTGCCCTGAGGTCCTGTGCTGTTTTCAAATGCCACTGAAGCATGTGCTTAGATAGAAGCTCTCATCAGACTATAGAGTTAAACACTCTGCAATTACGTATAGAATCCTGCGCGTTGGGTGGGGTGCGGTGTGTGTAAAAACACTGCCACTCTTACCCCTTTTTCTTTATCACTTACTTAGCAACTAGTTGTCTTTTTTTTCCTTTTGGGAGACTGTTTTCCAGATATAGTAAGGGGAACAGAATCCAGAGGTGCCCAACAACCCGTTTATAGAACTTAGCTCAGTAGAGACTTGCGTGTCACTGGAGAGAAAACAAGTGGTAGTAACCAGTGAGTTGTTTTATCTTACATTCTTTGCTAGTACAGGTACAAGCGACACTGCACGGACTCTCCTCCATCCTGGAGGTTGAAGGAATTGCTACACCTGGAATCAGTGACTACTCAAAGCCAGACAGACTGGCTTCTCTCTCAAGGCCCAAACAGTTCGCGTGGCTACTTACAGATCTGCATCCTCCGTGAGTTCCAACTATTAATAACTGTTCACTTTAAGATTAAAAAAATGGCGCTTTGCTGAAATGACCATTAGTTTGTGCACATACTTTACCTGTACATCGTTGGTGTTCATTCTTGTTCCCTCCTTCCCAACGAAGATGTCATCTATGTCAACCAGAATGTACCTATCCAAGGACAGTCTGAGCTTCTTTCCAGACAGGAAAGAGATGGCATCTATGAAAATCAGCTTGTGCAGCCAAAAATTCAAGTTATTGCCGAAAAAGACTCGTTGAATCCCATCGTGGAGCCCCAGGTCATGAATTACTGTGGCATGGAGAGCACTTTTAGCAGCAGGTGGTGAAAGGTTTTCTGGTGTCTTTACTTTTGCAAAAATCACTGGTTGATAAGCTGTATGATTAATCTGGAAAACTGCCCAGTCATTTCCAAGCAAGGGACCTTTCTCAAGCTTAGAAGATTTTGTCACATGGAGCAGTGGGGAATGAGGGTTAATGCAACAGTCCTTAATACCCAGATTGCTGTAGACATGGAAAGGAAAGCCCTTCAACTGAAAGCTCTGCAAGCTGTTCTCATTGCCTTTGTGAAATCCAATAACACCTACACCATATTCTATACAGTACTTATCTAGAAGGCCTCTGTTCCAAGAGTCCATATTCACATACTTTAGAATATTTTCATACACTATGAGAGCATATTTGCCTTTATTTTTGTCTATAAGCACTGGGAGGTCACCTTTCCCAGGTGCAATCTCAATGTGAAACTGAAATCTGCTAGATTCTAGAATGGTTATTATATCTTGGCCTAATGTTGAGTACTGACTTTCCACAAACACCAGCACTACAAGATCTGTCCTCAGGGGATCAATAGGCTTCATGGTCTTCATCTCCATTAGCTTGTATGGCAACAGTTGAAGATCACCACATTCCACTTCTGAAGAGATTTCAGAAAGTTCATTTTCCTGTTTGTAGCCATTATACAAGTAGTACGCAGAAATAACTATGCTCACCATACAAAAAGTGGCCAGCAAAATAACTGTTCTTTGAAAATGTCTGTGAAGTTTCATGATAAAGCTCATGTTGTTTACTTGCCTTAGATTGCTCTCGATAGCAGCGTTAAAAACAAACACAGATTCTCAACAACTTGTTCTAGTCCTCTGAAATATTTATGTCACCATTGCAGCACACACATCTATCTTCCACAAAGCTTTACAGAAGGTACAGTCTAAAAGAAAAAAAAAAAAAAATCAGAGATTTAATTGAGGCATCACACTTGTGAATATCATCACATTAAACTAATAGTGAGCAAAGAAATCACTGCCAAACAGAGGTTTGGGAACAAACAGCTCAAAAATTTGATAGTTTCTTTTTGAAATTTTGCATTAGTAGCGTTATTTCTCCCTGCTCCCACTACTTGCCATGTGCATTTGAATGTCTCTAAATCTCACAGGCTCCTTACTCCAGAGGGTAAGTAAAAGAGGGTACACACAGGAGGCACTGAAAAGCAAGATACGGCAGCAAAGAACTTACTGTTTTTCTGAAAATTTTTTACCCAAAGATAAAAGTTAACTCCAAGTAGACAATTGCTGACAACCTAAACACTGAAGAAAATTCATAACCTTCCTCCTTCCACCCCCAAAAAGCTGGGGGAACATCAGTCATGATCAGACAGACATGACCAGTCTTATATTAATTTTTTACTGTTGTTTTAACCGTTGTATACATACATACCGATATACTCTATATTACATGTATTATAGAAGTATTTTTAAAACAAAACTACTCTTTTCCTGCAGCATTAGAAGTAAACAAATAGCATTTTACTGGACTCTGTATGTGTACTGTTTTGCAAATTGTTGGAAGCACTTTACATTTCTTTGTATTTAAAAAAAGCATAAAATAATCCAACTCTTAAATTTGAGAAAAGAGAGTAATAAATCAAAAGCTAATTTAAGAGGCAGATCACCTAAGGATATACTTAGGCTTTAACTTGTACCTAAGAAAAGCAGTTGTTTTTCAAGCCAACAGTACAATTGCTGTCAAAAGTTTCTAGTAAAACAACTGAACAATGTGACAAGGATAAAATAATTAAGTACCATAAGTTATAACGGAAGGTTAAAAGCAGATTTTGAAAAATACTACTGGTATGAAGATCTAGAACATGCAGTTGTAACTTCACAATGTAGTACACATCCATTCCCATTTCTAAATGGGACTAGGATAAGACATGTGTGTAACGTTAAGATGGTCATTTCCCGACTGAGTGCTTAATCCTTCCATGATCATTTTTTTAAAAAAAAAAAGTAGGGCTTAAAAAGTGAATACCAAGAAGCTCCAGAAGTATAATCAATATCAAATATGAACTTTTCTGTACAGGTTGAAAGAAACAATTAAATTTTCTTGAGAGATCGTGAGAAAAAAATGGTATCTGCTCAAGCTCTATCCCATGATTTGTATTTTCTAAGGTTTACTGGGTTTTGTAAGAAATTTTCATTCCTAGAAGGGCTGACAACCTTCAGTACTGAATCAGGGAGCAGATGATAATAGAAGAAATACAGTCAGCTTCTGATGCAAAAGAAATTGAAGTATATAAAAGATTAATTACATATTAATAAAGGGGAAAAAAAGGAGGAGTTGTAAAAAAACCCCAACAAACAAACAACAGACAAAGCCAAACATGTCGTGTACTTGGGCCACTTAACCACTTGACAAGAGCTCCTCATCCTACATTGTAAAGAAGGTGGCCTTTCACTCCAGGTTTTCAAAAAAGCTAAACACCATGATGTACTTAACAGCACCTATGTAACTTCCATAACTTCAATTAAATCCCAAAGATTGATCCTCCCAGTGCCACGATGAGCACAAAATAAAAATAAATGAGTAGGAAAATGAAATAAGGGGAAAAAGAGAAACTATATGGCATCCTATTTATCAAAACAGCAAAATTAAGTACCAAGAGTAAGCATACATAAGCTGTCTCATTAAGATTCCCTTTAAACCTGCATCTCACCAGATAAACCCACTTTCTGGATATATTCTACTCTCTTCACCTTCTACTCACAGATATCAGTATATTAACCTTTTCTGTTCTGGGCGGACTCACACCCAGCCTTCAACCTTACCTGCAGCTGCACAAAGACTTGCACATAGCTTTTAGACAGGAGACTTGCCTTTCACCCAGGCATACAGGCTCATTAATCAGTGTTAGAAAAAAGTAACCTAATCCCAGTTTCTCAGTTTCTGGAGGGATGTATCTGAAAAGAAGTTAAAGAATGCATAAAGACCGAATGACAATTTGAAAGTACCTTCAGAAGAACTCAAAGAACATTTTTAAGTATTGAGATGTCCGATCCTTGTCACACTAGCTTCAAGAATATCAGTTTAGATAGCAGAAAAGAGATATTTAATATGGTAACAAGTCAGGTGACAAAGAAGGAGCTCCATCCTGAATGAGTAAAACAGAGAGATGTTTCCAGACAGATGATTTTTCATTACACACACAAAGGATTCTCTTCATTTTTCATTTCCGATTCAGCTGCCTGAATGCCAAGAAACTCATAATTTTAGTGGCTAAAATTAATACTGACTGCATTCTGTAGAAAAACTGTACATATGCCTACTTACCTTCAGTAACCACAGACCTGGCTGGCTTACCCCACACAGAGCTCAGGCCTGGTTTACACAGAAAAGAGATGCAAGCCTGCAAAGCAGAACTCTTGCTGACAAAAGCACAATGAATCACCTCTTTGAATGACACAAAGTCAACCACCACGCAACCAACAAGCACAATACTTGTCTGCTTCTTTTAGCCCTAAGCTCCTCTAACAAAGCCCTAAATTACCCCTATTCTTATGACAGAAACCACCGAAGTCCTATTGCGAGGAAGTTCCCAGCAGCATGATTTAGAAGTTTCTTTCTTTACCAGCCTATGCTTTTGAGCAGACGGTCACCTGAACCTGAGAATCCTGACTGGAGCAGGAAAAATTTACAGTGACCTAAGCTCATGGCAAGAACAGGCTGATTAGACAGAGTCGTTTGAATGAGATATTACAGAAGGGTTCCAACCCAAGGGCTGCTAAAGTAAGCAGCAGGAGCACTTGAAACATCTGCAGCAAGGACGCAGTTCCTAATGCCGTTCCATGCAGCAGAAAATCTGGAGCCAGCCCAGAAACCTGTATTTTCTTCAAGAAAACCTCGGTCATTTTATCTTTAGCTCCTAATTGCAGGTACCTCCTGGGGCTACAGAGTGCAGCTGTAAGGAGGAGTGGATGGAAATGCCAAGACAGATGCGAGGTTTGACTCTGAGGAATGAGGAATTCTCAGAGACCCAGCAAGACACAGCCAGACTTGGCATCCTCACCACTGAAGACAGGAACGAAGGGGAATGGAACAGAATAAGACGCAAGTTTTAAATGTACGCTCTCCTGAATCAGCTTGATGCTTAGATAATTTTCACTTATTTAAGGACTGTTTTGCATGGCAAGAGTTCAAAAGAACACAGAAAGAAAAAATAAAACCCACAAATGTGCATTTAATAGTATCAAAACAGTTTCAAAGCCTTGACAAGTACCGTTGCTTTCCTAGAGGAACAGCAGCATTTTACTCTGAGCAACAGTACTTGCTAGATATTCCACTGGTATCTTACAGCACCATGCTAAAATAAGTCATCATGCACCGAATTTGACAGTGGTATAGAGATCTTCTGGCCCACAACACACTGTGGGACCTATCAAGACCACTATAGTGACCTTTATCACAACTTTAGACATGGCTTCAGGGAAAATGGTCCTTGTCCGCTATCACTTCCAACAGTAAAACCAAACAAAGGGCGTAATTCAGAACATATCAACAGTGGGTAAGCCGTTAGAATCAGCATTTCAGAACAGGACAGTACTTATGGAGTCTTACTTTCATGACAAAAGAATACAATATTTTACAAAAGAAGGAAGAAGTCAGGATAGCTTGAACTGCAATACAAAAAAAAAAAAAAAAAAATCCAGGTATAAGAAAAAGCTTTAAAGAAAAAAAAAAATCAAAGAGTCTAGAAATTCTTCATAAGAGTTCAAGCTTGTTAGTATTGTTTCAGTGAAAAACCATGAAAAAGACCCGTAGATAACATAAGCAGTCTTAGCTCATTAATTTCAATGGAGTCATGTGGAGTTCAATGAAAGGAGGATATGGTCCCACCTAAATTTCAGAGCACTTGAAAACGGGTGTCAGACGTTATACGAATCCAATGTTCCACAAAAGTGATGTTGAAATAAGTGTTACCTATAAAATAACTTGTATGGTACTTTTCCACCGACTGAAGCAATAAAAGCTGCCTCATTGTTCTTTATCTAGAACATTATTATTTTAGAAGAATCTGCGTTTGATCTCCTACAGAATTTTGCATTTTCATGCCACCATCTGAAAATTCAGACCAGAACTTTCTACCTGTGTTGTTCCAAGTATGAGGTATCAAAATGCCTCCTTAATGTGAAAGTTAGCATCTTTGAATATTTAGAATTTTGTTTTTAACTTGTGGACTCACTATGGAGGACAAGATCTTGCTAAGAGAAAGCTGAGTTATGGAAATAAGTTTTGCATTTTATTCTGAATACAGCAAGGCTTCATAACATTCTCACCTACTGTAGAAGTGATTTCTGCAGCTCAGGACTAGTTCATGCGAAAATTTTGTGGATACAGGAAATAAGTATCACCTTATTAATTGGAAAATTTACAATTCTAAGCAGTACTCCTGGAGAGTCACAATTACAGGTACCTTCAGACAGCTAGCATGAACAGATGCATTAGAATAGAGATCTTCAACTGTGGGTTTGTTTGGGTTTTTTTAATTTGTTTTGGTTTTTTTTTTAATTCGCGAACAAGGTAGTACTGATGAGATAACAAATACCGTGATGAACTCCAAAGAGCTGAATTGCACCATAAGGAGTCTGGTGAGTTCCTACCATTTGCAGCTTTCTTTAGTTTGTTGTTACATTGCTAAGCATAAATGACCAAATTCTAGGCTTCTAGAAATCATTTCAGCACGATAACACTAATGGAAATACTTAAATGAGACAACACTGGCTGCGGA